TCTGACAGCAGTGAGGGAGAATGGAAAAATGAATTAATACTTCATAAAGCCACCACAGATAGCCACCCAGAATAAAGTGAAATACATCAGAAGGCTCTTCACAATCAATTCAAAGATGATGTAATTACATCAATCACATATTCTTACTGCTCTATGTCTGTGACACAGTTAAATCACAATGACATAGAGAAGGATAGTAGCTAACAACTATGTGCTATTTCTCACAATATAAGGATAACGAGCTACTCAAATAAATGATAAAGCAGATTCTTTATTGTTGTATGTTTTTAAGGCAAATCCACAAAGAGTGAATTGTATTTCATTCTACTTCCCTAAATAAACTTTGCACCTTGCCTGAAACCTAAGGAGAAAAAAAGCACACAAAACCTTACTACCCTTCCCTTAGAAATCCTACTCCTCAAATATTCCTAACAGCCACATACCCATCCCTTTCTCTCTGAACAAACATTAAAGGAGTGTTTTCTTGGTATTTTATCCTTCTGCCGCAGGTCAAGATTTCAGAAAACACTGTGTGAATTGCCATATCTGCAGCCACTCTTAGAGTTATTTCCTAAACATGTTGCAAAGTTAACCATTTTGAAAAAGGGAGAGTAACTCTTATTTGCAAATGTGGAAATCTTAAACTGTCTATCAACAATTCAGTCATTTATAGTCCAGATCTGTTGTTTGTGCTGAGAATTAATTAGTTACTTAAATTCTTTTTTTTGTTTCTTTGAGATAAGGTGAAAGTTTTTATGAACAGAAACTGATATACCTGTTGACAGTTTAAGATTTTTTTGTCCTTGAAGAAGAAAATTATTTGATTTTCTAATGACATGATAGATGCAAAAAGGTCATCATCAGTTTCCAGTCACCACAAGGATGACAGCTTTCAGTCATTCCGCTTTATGGCAACATTGGCTTTGACTATCAATTGACTTCTAAAACAGTTAAGCTGCATTAAAATTAGACTGTTGTTATTGAAATTTGCAATGAACTGGATTTATCTTTTATTCATTCTCTTAGCTTTGTATAGACACCAAGGGTTTAATTTTGTTCTTTTGATATTTCAAATTAAATATTGCTTGAAAGTGAAAAAGTAAAGCTCATTTGAAAACTTAAAGAAACAGAAATGAAGATACCAGTTCATTTTGACCTTCTGAGTGGAAAGAAATGAATAAATGAAACATTCATGACACTTCTTATTATCAAGGTGTCTGGATGTAACTGTAGGGAGCTCATTCCACTATGCAAACTCACCCTGACCCAAATAGTCATTGTGTGTCAATATAAAGAATTATCATCTCATCTTATCTCCTTAAAACAGAGATAACTGTCTGCTATGGATAAAGTTATCTATACCATGTAAGGCAGTATTCATTTGTAGTGCTGATTCACACCAGGATTTAAATTACAAGGCACTAATATAAATTAATGAAAAAGCAGGTTAAAGGGGATTACAAAATAGGATTTGGCTGAGAAATATTTCTTTTTTGTACTGTGTACAAAAAGTGTTATAACTTCACAACAAGAGACCTTAAGTTCATACTTGGCAGATAATTAGAATTTTTATGCAAAAGACGCCTCTATGATTCTATTCAGATACAGAAGTGTTCAATGGGATAATTTTTTTCTGTATGTGTTTTTTCTCTTTTCAAAAGGCTTTCAAGTAAAAAAGATGATATATTGACCGTGATGTATAAACACAACTCTGCAGTAAATCCTTTTTAAGCACACAAATTACAAATTTAGAAAAAGGGATATGGTCTAATAGTCATTAAATGCCATTTTTTTTATCATGTATTTCCTTTCTTTTTAAACTGAAGGATTTGTTTATAGAAATAAGTATACAGTCTGAATTTCTGAAATAGCTCCTGACTTCAAAGAAATCTGTTTTCTCTTTTTCTGCAACTTCAGAACCCAACCTTTTCCTTTTTCATGGTCTTTCTGTTCTTAAATTTGAGGTCTACAGTGCATCATCACCTTACAAACTGTCAAATATTTTTTAACTTATTATTAAAAGAGAATTATTTTAAGCTATCATTTTCTCTAGTCTCTTCATACATCACATATTATTGATACTCTTTTACACATGTCCTATAATATTCATGTAAATTACAAATCATGTATCAAAGTTCAAACTCTAATCTAAATGGACAAATATAACTATAAATGTATATAATTTTCATAATTCATATAATTGGTGTATATATGGTATAAAGCTCTTGCATCAGCAGATATATACACTGACAGTTTTGTGATTACTGAAATGCATTAATTATGATCTACTGCTGCTAAACATATGATATTAATTTGCTGCAGTATAATGAAAGAATAGAATTTTAAATGGAAATCTGACGATGGAGATAGTCAAATATTTTGGCAGTTTTAAGGATCTTCAGAGCCTAACATCACATATGGCAATTTATTTGAGGCTGATGACCGGTTCTATTTGTAAACTACGAGAAATTGATTCCTTCAGTTTTGTATTGTTTTGAATCACCAGATGGTACTTCTCCCTGTTCTAAAGACTTATCATCTGAGCATGTAGGAGCAAGATCTGGGAGAAACATTTCCGTCTGAACTGAGATGCTGTATGGATGTTGAGACCCTTACCAGTAATGAAGCACTTATCTTTTTTCAATCCCTCTGCTTAGCTGAAAATATTCTTTCTCAAATTAGTTGCTGTAGACAAGCTATGTCTACAGAAGTGAAAAAAAAAAGCATTAGAAATCCCTCCACTTTTGTCAACACATATGCACTTCCCAGAGACACTTTTTAAAGGCATTCTTTCACATTCTCCGCAAGACTATACTTAAAGCTGCACTTCTAACTTGAATAAAATAATATTGACAAAACAAAATAAAACTGTGTTGAACAGTTTGCCCATTTCTAAGCAGCATTATAATTTTACAGCTTTTATTCTGGTTATGTTCTTCAAATAATTTCTCTCCCCTGTTTCCATATGCAATCCACAGGTAGAAAAAAAACCCAGAAGTGTATGCAGTTAAGTACTACCATGATTCATTATCATCACATACTAATGGAACATCTCAGTGGAAACACCATAAAGTAGTGTTTAAACATCATGTAGTGATTGTTTTATAATGTCTGTAAACAACCTTGCATACATATCTTTCACTCTCCTGCTTTCCTCTGTTACGTGGATCAAGCATGGTGCTTCCTTTTCTCTGTGACTCTGGGGAGAAGAGACAGGCTGATTTGTTGGGGGGTTTTTTCCTGCCTCAATTTCTTTCCTTCTTGTAGTTGCTTAAGGGAATAGGGAGTTGTACTGTTTAATCAATTTTGTGTGACAGTCTGAAAAAACAAGCTTTTTCAGGAGGTAAGTTCAAACATAAAGCATTTTCCTCACATTGAAACCTCACTAAGGTTGCATGCAGCATCATGAAAAATCATTTGTTCAGACATGACTCCTTACCTAAGTACCTGGGGACCTCTCTACCATTCTTTGTAGGAATACCTTTCTGTTATCACCTGTTTTTACTAGCAGGTAAGTGAAAATTTTTAGTGTTGAAGAGTTCCAATATATCAGTTCGACGCAAGAGTCGGACTTCGTGCATATACACCAAGGTCTCAGTCACTGGTGAAAACCAAAATATTTTGACCTCCCCAATATTTTATTTTTAAAAACAATTTATGAATAATGCTTCATGTAGATTTATTGAGAATCATACAATGAGCAAATACAAATAAAATACATAAAAGAAAGGTATAAAATATCCATTGAAAATAAGTGTGAAAACTGTAACCATTGAGGTGTTTGTCCTTTGGGTTTTTTTAGAGTATGACCCACTTAAGTCCACAATCTTTTTGTGTGATAAGCCTCTACAGTGCTTCTGACATCAGAAGAGTCATGAAGATGACAGCCAAAACTCTGGCCTCTAAGCAATCAGCCTAGCCCAGTAAAATCAAAGACAGCTTAGCACTCAGTTTTGAGCTCAGTAAACAAAGAATTAGACCTTGAGGCTTCAAACTTTGATAACACGGATAACAAAAACAGCACCAAAAATCACCAGGTTATCTCCATGAAATAAACTCAGCAAACTTCTCTCCAAAATTATGTATAATCGTTCATTGTAAAACTGCTAGTGGACTAACTATTGGCAAAACCTGTTTAGGTTGGCTGGAGATTTTAGAGGGGCTGTTATATATGAAAAAAACAGAATTGGAAATTACTTTTGCACTTGATTCTCAGGAATCTAATAATTTTTAAGTGACTACAGTTGAAAAGAGGCATAGGACACTGAGTCAGGAAATTGCAAAAGAGCCAAACAGAGTTACTTGTGTCAGTAACATACACCCCCATGTTGTTTGCTTTAAAGCAACCCTTCATCCTTTATTACAAAAATCTCTGGTGTTGCAGAAGAACTGTCTGTGTAAGTCTCAGCAAGGCTGAATAGCCTTCATTCCATCCCTTAGTTTCATGCAAGGAGATTATGTTATTGATGCCCTCACAAATTCTTATGAAAATAAGATGTTTATCATGAAGACTTCTAAGTAAAATTGATGCTGCATTTATAAATGACATGTTACTTCAAAACACGTGGGATTAACTCTCCCTATCTGACCTGAGATATACTGATGCTTCCCTTTCTTTTAAGTTTGTCTTTAGAAGACTCTTCTTTGAAGTCTTTATTTTCTCAGAAATGTTGGCAACATATATGAACAAAAAATGTCCATCAAATTTATAAAGCCTGGCAAGACCGGGAATTGTCACCTTCAGTCCTTAATCCTTGTTAAAACTTTTTAGGAGTAGACAGAGTATAAGAATATTTCTTCTTTAAAGTGCTTCAGACTCTTTCATCAATACATGTTAGATAAGCATTAAAACCCAACAGTAAATATTGTGTAACGCGCTGGTGCATTGACTTGTCTTGCATTTAATTAGTCAATTAGTTTTGCATGAATTACCACAGTAATCTAAAACTACCTATTGCTACTAAATAAAGCTAAAAGGGAATAGAAAAACAGCACATTACCTGGCAGAGAGCTGCTGTCCAAGACAATAATCTGAACTTGACAGATACAGAGCCGTTGTTCAGTTTGAACATTTAAAGACTCTTTGGAGACCTGATTGGCTGATTACCACACATGATGTTTGGATGGTTTATTTTGTGTGACCAATTGCCAAACCAACAAGCATCTCAAATTACTGAGGCACAAGAGGTTATGGTGAAGCTCACCGTTCAGAACACAATCGCACAGAAGGGCATCCTTGTTCTATAAATGCTACATTTTCTGCTTAGGGTTTTTTTCACAGTTTCTTTGTCTGACATGAAGGATTTTTCTTTATCATCCTCAGTGCAGATTCAAAATTTTTTTAGATGCTATAGCCTTTAAAATGAGTACTAATATCTGGAGACCTTGAACATAGTTTGTGTCTAGGAACTCAGCATGTATGGTGATGCTGGCTGTGAACCTGCCTTTTAAAACCTACAGTAATTTAAGATCAGCATTAATACTATTTTGTTCAACAAATTAAAAATGTAATAAAAATGCTCTAAAGACCATGAGAAAAAGCTTAAAAGTAAAATTAGAGGCAGTCACCGCAACTAACATGTTGGAAAAGTCCAATTTTTTTCTCATTTAAAAAAAATTGTCCAGCAAATAACAGTAAACAAGCAATTAACTTAAACTTTTTTAGGTTGCTCCTTTAACAGTCATAGTACAAAATACTGCACTAGGCTTTATAGAGAAATTAGAAACTTTGTATTAATAACCAAGGCTAATCAGGACAGTATTAAAAAAGCTGTATTTTGCTGGAGATAACGCAGAATTTGCTGCAGAGCTCCAAAAATTATTTTCCATTATTTCTTGAATTTTACAAAGATTCATTACTTTTGCATAGAAGAGAAAATGGAATCATCTGCAAAACTTATAAAATAAATGCGTACTTAGAAGGCAGGTTGTACCTTATACCAGTTCATACATTCATTCAACAATTATGAGCTAAGTGCTTTTTAAAGTTCACATAAAAAGCCTTTCTTTTTTAATTACAAAAGTGACCTTAACCATTTTGTTAAAAAGGTATATATGTCCTGACAACCGTTATTTTTCATCAGTCTCACACACCATACTGGCTTTGTCCCAAGAAATGTTAGAAAGGATGAAACTGCCTGGCCAAAGGAAACAGAAAAACATTTTGATGACTTAGGTTGGAAAAAAATGAAACTTTTTCTTGTCCTAGATATTCACTGAACAACTGATATTAAAGCCTCAAAGCTCTTAGAAGTGCTTTGTTGGAGAATTTTGGCAGTGTCTGGGAGAGATTTTATGTAACAGCAAACTGCTGTTACTTTCACTGCCCATCACTTTGAATGTTCACAGAGAAAAAAAAGCAATTCTCACAACATATTTCTTAGTTTATCTGAAAATAATGATGCTAATGATGATCTGCATTTCTCAGGGCTGTGGCAGTCTCACATTAAAAGTGAGATGAGGTCTTGAATTCCTGGAAGCTCATCCAATAGAAAGTTGCTTAAAGAGAAAGACCAGCCTTATCATAAGAAAGCATTATCATTTAATTGATCTCTGTACTGTCTAAAACTTTAATTTGAATCTGAAACGGTTCCTTCAGAAAGGATGAAATATACTGAAGATAATGCATGGGAGTGATAGGTGAGCCTCTAATGCCAAACTATGGAGAGGACTACTTGCAAGGGGTGCTCATCTCAGCACTGAGGACAACGGCAGGAAGGGAATGCGTTTGCTGACACAAGTACATAAGAAGAGAACTACAAAGAAAGTAAACATGGGTTGCTGAATTCTGACAGAGACCCTGTGGTGACAACAATACCATGTTTCCTATTATTGGAGAGAAGTAGGAAGGGAGGTATTGTTATTGCTGGACACCTTCTGTTAGATTTTGACAACTTGTGTTTAGTCCCAGGTACAGCTTCTCACTCGTGTCAGCAAAGCTGCTCTCCCCTGCTGTGCCCTTCAGCAGTAGGCCCTTCCTTCCACAGGATCCCCATCCCACCCCAGGAAGGGGAACAGAAAATCATCTCTGGCCTCAAGATTTACGAATCTGTGAGAAACAACCACAGAAAGAGGGAAAACTAGCTGATACCATGGCAGCATCCCTGGACAAGTGAGCCTGCGGATGTCTTCTAGGGATGCTGACCACATGGTCCACATGAACGAGCACAGCACAGCACCAGCTTGGCATCACGGTGAGGGACTACAGCTGTCTGTTGTCCATCCACTTCAGAAAGCAATGAGAACGGCTAAAAACTGTGCCTACACCAAGGTTGAGCTTCTAAATTCGGGGAACTGAGCATGAGGTAGAAGGTCAGAACTAATGCTAAAGTATTCTTCTGAGTGACAGTGCTAATTGGCACAGGGCATGTCAGTGGCAGGCAGCTGGCCTGCAGTTCACTGTCAGTCTGAACTTGACAAAAACAAAAGTTAATACTGTCTTAAACCATTGTCTATAAAAATGTATCAATACCAAGAGGGTTATTACTCAACTCACCATATCATATGAGACTAATATTGCAGTGTATTTGTGAATAAAAATGGCAGTGGAGTTTTTTTCTCAGAGCTCCTCTGAGAAAGGTGCCTAGAGGTAGCTGGTTTACATATTAAATGTACCTATTCCTTCCTGGAAGGAGACCGAGATTTTCTTCCAGGATCATGAGATTAAAGTGGTACAATTGAAGTAAGCTCATCATAACTATTTAGTCTGGATGTTAATCTGAACTTCAGTTCAGGTTTTCTCCTGACTAATATCTGTTTAAGTACAATGTCTGTTTATTAATAGACATTTTAAAATAAATAATATCTTTTGCATAAAGTCAAGTGATACTGTTAATAATGCAGTACAATTTTTATTTCAGTTACAATCCAAGGATGTTGGTCTTCTTGAAAGAATGCTTTACGTTCGCAGTGGCAACAGTACCTAAAGCTATACAGAGCTTTGTTCTAATAATGGAGGTTTGATTGTAAACTGTTTTCTGTTGGTGTGAATTTCTAAATGTTTTTTTGGTCTAATCCCCTGCAAGACCTCAATTATTGGGTGATAATCTCCATTTCTCCTGTTTCTCCTACCAGTATATACTCTAGCTTTACACAATTTAGGGAAGATTTTAGCTTGTAATACAGCTCTGCAAGATATTCTTTGTTTTACACACAATTTGTGACTTTGTCTGATTTAAGGGAGGGATTAATCACAGCCATATTTTGACACTGACAGTGCTTACATCTGCATGTGATCTGGATACCTAGATTCCACTTATAGCCAATGGACAGAAGTGAAGTTCTGGGACACCTCTCACTAACCTGTTAAAGACATCTAATCTACAATTAAATGATATCTGGCCTCCAAGTGCCTATATCTCTCCATCATATAAAGTATATCTACATAAATTGCTCAAGTATAGATACACATGATACTGAACTCTGTATTCAGATGATCCCAGCCTTATGTGTTCATAATACAGTTTCTCAGTATTGCAGTGGACTGAAAATAGTGACCTAGTTCCTTCTTTCATTTCAATGCTTTTAAATCTTAAGTGTTTTGGGCAGGACGAGGGTTACTGTTTGTTTATTTAGCTCTTACGAAACAAGAAAGTGAAAAAAAATGTATGTTCTGGATTCTAAAAATGTTCTTTTCATTTTCTTTCGAACAGATCCACAGCTTAACAGCGTACTGTTGAAATCTGAAATTTTGCAATCTTTTCTGTATTGCTGAGAAAAATACGTTCAGTTTAGCTGAGTAATGAGTCTCTGAAAAGCATGTGTTGCAATATCTATATTTTGTCTCTGTGTTTGTAAATGTGCTACTCAGGAATGTTACATCACAAACATTTTTGTGGATATCATGGCTGCATAGAAGAAAATTTATGGAAGGTGCAGATAAACTGCTTTATTTACATACCATAGATAGCTAATACTATCTTTTTTGAAAGTAAATATTCAAGCCAAATCTTATGTAAAAAAGCATAACAAAGTAAATCTATGTCTTGTAAGACAAAAAGTGACAAATTTCATATGTGCAATTTTAATTCACAATTTAGTCAACTACTTCACTGCATAAACCATCCAATTAAAACCTGAAATAACATTCAATGTCTTACAGAACAACACAGAGGGCAGCTTATCTTATGTAAAGGCTGGACAGTTGCCCAGAGCTGTAGAAGTGGAGAGGTAGCATTTTTAGAGCCAATTTGTGACTGTACTGACCAAATTGTTAAAAAGACATTAATTTTCATAATGGATAAATACTACTAATGTCTCATATTTTTATGGAATTTTGTGAAACTGTATTTTATATTATCTGAATATGTGGCATTCCAAAGTTCTATAAAAGTACCTGGTATGAAATACAATTTATTTTTGACAGATGTGGAAAAGAGGCAGCAGAAGATATTTTATTCGGGCAACAAAATAGTTAGGGCTGTCTCTGATGATGTAAATACCAAATATGCATCAGCGACAGCTCAAAACTTACCAAAAAACCCAGTAACTGCTTGCCCAAGATACTGCCACATCTTTTTGAATAAACTCAAGTATTCCATAGAAGATCCATTTGCAGAAGAAAAGGAGGGGGGGATCAATATTAATTTAAAACCTATTCTGTGTGAATTATTTGAAAAGTATTATCATGCAGGTCTGAAGTTTTGTTGACTTAGATAACTGTAGATACACAAGAGCTTGAGTAATAAGATATGCCGTAGGGTGTGACAGTGTGTGTTAAGTATGAAGGAAATTCAAATCAGAAAAGTATGTTGCATGTCACATTGCCCAACATGCCAGTTTTTGGGCGGTTTCTTATCCGTTTCTGTGTAAGCATTCTTTTTCAGTGGGTAGACTCAAGATAGTAAGGAGTGAATGAAGCAAACCGTAATGAACCATGAATGTAGAACAGCAGAACAGACCTGCTGTACCTGGGCAATGTGAAATACAGATTTTTCTCATCAGTCTCCAAAATGGCAATAACTCCCCTATTGTATACCACCCTTCAGAATTATCCAAACACACTGATGGGTTAACAAGTTGCAAATATAGAGGTTAA